AAGTATTTCAACTTTTGAGTGACTATTGTAAATGGTATTGTTTTCCTGATTTCCTTTTCAGAGCTGTCTCTATTAGTATAGAAGAATCCAACTAATTTTTTTTTTTTTAAAGCTTTTATTGTGAATTGAGTGATAGTCTACATGGCAAAACATTAGTTTTGCACTCAACTCATAGCATCTTATTTCACTTTAAATATTACAATCCCCTTTTTTAATGTACACAAAACATGCAAGAATATATAATCATTTAAGCAACCAAATGGCACATTTTGCTAACCAACCCCTGCCCATCAGCATGCAGTCTTCCATGAGTCTAGAGTCCTCAGATGCTCTGTCTCTCCATGCCTTCACCTCTTCCTCCATCTCTGGTGTCACTATTTCTTTGGTTGGGATCCTGGGTCCACTCATGCTCTTCCCTCTTGCTGGTCCTAGGGTACTGTGTTTCTGGAATGTAAGATTAACTACTCCCTTTACCCTCAATTTTTTTTTCCAACTAATTTTTATGTAACAATTATGCACCCTGCCACTTTGCTGAATCAGTGAATTCCAATAATTTTATTGCTGAGTCTGTGGGATTTCTATGTAAATGATCATGCCATCTTCAAATAGAGAGAATTTTACTTTTTCTTTGCCAGTTTGTTGTTGTAAAGTACTGTGGAGTTGGTTCCAACTCATACTGACGCTACATGTGGTTTCTGAGTCTGTAAGTCTTTATGGGAGCAGAAAGCCTGGTGCCTTTAAATTCCCTTTTTGCCTTATAGCTCAGGTTAGGACTTCCAACACAATATTGATCAGGAATGGTGATGAAGGATATCCTTGTCTAGTTCCTGTTTGCAAAGGAATCTCTGAGTTTCTTTTCATTGAGAGTAATGTAGGCTATTTGATTTGTATATGTGCCCTTAATTATGCTGAGAAATTTATCTTCTACTCCTATTTTGTTGAATGTTTTTATTGAAAATGGATGTTGGATTTTGACAAATGCCTTTTCTGCATCAAATGATATGATCATGTGGTTCCTTTCCTTTTTTTTTAAAAAAAAAAATTATGTGGTAAATTATATTGATTGTTTTTGTAATTTTGAACCATCTTTATATTCCTTGTATGAATACCACTTTGCCAAGATGTGTTATGTTTTGGATATGTTGCTGAATTCTTTTGGAAAGTACTTTGTTGAGAATTTTTATATATATGTTCATGATGGATATTGATGTATAGTTTTCTTTTTTAGTGATATCTTCTCCTGGTTTTGGTATTAGGATTTTGCTTGCTTCATGAAATGTATTTGTGAGTTTTCCATCCTTTTCAACATTCGGGACTAGTTTGAGTAGAATTGATGTTAGCTCTTCTCTGAATGTTTGGTAAAACTTACCAGAAAATTATATGGATCCAGAATTTTTCTTGTAGAAATTGTTTAATGACTTGAACAATTTGTTCTTTTGTTACGGGCCTGTTCAAATTTTCTGCTTTATTCTGTGTTAGTTTTGGTAGGTTCTGCTTTTCCTAAAAATTTGTCCATTTCTTCTAAATTTTCAAATTTGTGGGAGTACAAGTCATAGTATTCTGTTATTATCTTTTTTATTTCCTTTGGCTC